TCTAACGTGTGTCTGAGTGAAATGAACATATGAAATCTGAAACTTTGAAACTATGAGACAAAGTTCCAGTTAGACGAAGAATTAAAGAAGACCAGTGTTACAAGTTTACTCGAATGCAGAATTTCGACTTCATGTGTGATGTCAATCACAAGTGATAATTGAATAAGGACGTCGGTACAATTCACGGTTTGGTGACGACATAGGAAAGCCGGTCTGTGGCCCACGTAAACAATCCGAACCAGTTAAAAATATAATCGAGTTTATTGAGCGAAAAACACACACGTGAGAGTATAAACTGTTGTTTGGGAACTGACAAAAGCTGGATATACGCACATTTCTTGATCTTTAGTTTCAAGATATTGCATTTATTTTCAAAATCAAGATTCTTGGAGACAGAACAGTACATTTTAGGATATCTGGACAATGCAAGCCGAAAAGGTGTTTTTCTTAAGCTCATCGATCACCTGAAGATCATTTTGCGATTTCAAGTACAGAAAGTTGAACTCCCTCTTTACCGAATGTTTCTATTGGCCCAGGTAAGTTCTGACAACTGACAAGAATTGGCACTTAAAAATGTACAGATTAATGTATCAAACAGCATTTTGTCTCCATAAAGAGACGACATACATACGATTTGGCCTACTTCACGAAACTACTGCAGACCAAACGAGGTATGAGCTTGGCAAATTGAAATTGACATTTGTGTTACTTCAAAATAAATCCACGGTCAATGATTCTGATGTAATCAATAGTTTGTGTTTGTTGCATTTTACATTAGTATACAAATACAGTATATATATACATAACATAACATGATATAAAATAAACATACATTTATATTTAGACACACATATTTATTCATTATCATGCAAATACCAATAAAATTATCAGACAGGAAAGGTAGGATTATTTAAAATTTGCATTTTAATTTGAATTTGGATTTCTCTGTGAGCTGTCAGTGTGAGCATAATCAATATTTACATTTACTCAATTTCACAAGTTTATTCATATAAGTTACCTATAGCAAATTGGTCCAATTTTCAGGTTTGTGTGTTTTCAAAAAATGTTTTGCCATTTGGCCCATTCTCTTTGAAACTGGTTTAGGTAGCTTTCTCCCTTACTTATGAACCTTTTAGTGTATTTTTAGGGCAAAAATGCAAAGTTCATTCTTGAGGTACCTTGATCTATAGAGATATTGCTTTATTGTAAAGATGTTCCATTCTGACAATATATACCAAAAAGAAAAGGTTCTTTATGAAATTCAAATGAACAGTGAATTCAACAAATTTTCTAAATTTACGAGTAAAATTTGAACTTTCTCAGTTTCATAGCGTATATTCTATATCGTTACAATATATATTTTACAAATATTACAATAAGGACTGGCTACAAACCCAACTGAAATAAATACGAATGTGTTGTTAGAATATGGCGATTAATCCTGAATGGGAACCATTGCAATTTTGTATTTTTTGTTACAGAGAAAGGGAGTCTGAAAATCATTTTTCCAACAGTTTCATCAAACTGTTCGTCCCCTTTGTTATTCCACTTGCAAATACATCATTTTTACTAAGCAAATTGAAAATATCTTATGTATTTTTAATTTTTTAGCAAATATTTTCCTTTATAGCTGTAACAGTTCCATGATACATTGTAGGAAATTTACTCTAACACCATAACTATATTTCTCTGAATTCAAAAAAACGGAAGAAGTTGTTGTTATCCTTTTATAAGTCATTAACTACTGTACTACAACTCCATTCCTATACCAATCTTTATTTCATAAAAATGACACTAATATTATATATTATTCTTTTTTGTTTGTTTGTTAAATCGTATAGGCATGTCAGAGATCTGTTTTGAGTCTGTATATTTTCTCTCAAGAACAGTAAGATTTTTCCACGCAAGAAAGACATCTTTCCAGACCAGTTTTTACAGTTATTTTAACAAAGGGAAATTTACTCTGATCCTCAATTTACAAGAAGGTTTTTATAAATAGTCGAAATAAAAGTAATTTGCCATGTTCATGTTGCTGAGAGTAATCTTTTTATCCAAGTAAGTTTTAATGAGTCTATAAATGATTTAATATAAATCATTTTAAAAGTTATAAACTATACGTGATCCACTAACAGCACCTATCCAAGGTAAACTCTTGATAATCTTTTCTTCAGCCATTCACAGCATTGCTTCTCGGTTTAACTGTTCAGGATTCCTCTGTCATGAGGGTACGATTTAGTGTGTCATCCTCTAAGGCACGATATATCGCACGTGAAATACTATGACGTCATGAGAACAATATAATATGATGTCACAATAAGCTATTGAAAGGTCATGTTAGAGGAAAATAATCACCTGCTTCTGAAATTATCCCAATGAAAGAATCTTGCCTATGTTAATTATTACCTTTTAATATTTATTATGTTCAAATTAATTTGTGTGTGTGTGTGTGTGTGTGTGTGTGTGTGTTTGTGTGTGTCAGTACATTACAGCATTGGACTGCTTTCACTTGGCATTCATAGTTAATATGAATGTCAATGGGAACTTGACAAATTCAACATGAAGCTCTAGCTCAGTGGACATAGTCAATACTAATAACGTGCTTCATGGAATTTGCAACGTTCCAGTTGGCATTCATACTAATAATTACCATCTTAAGAATATTTTCATTTTATAGAAAAATTAGATTTCACCAAAATTAAGCATTTAGCCCAAATAATTTTATAACCCATGTATTCTTGTTTAATGAATAGAGCAGTCCTCTTCAGAGTCAGTGGTATCCGACGTTTACAATTATGGTGTCATACGTCACCATAGATATGTTGGCCATGACATGCGTCGCTGATATGAATGCCATCTGAACTTGGAAGGGTTATAAATTGGCAATGCCATAAAATGGTCATTATAACTTGCCATAACGACTCGTCGGGTTTTCAAGATTCCGTATTACAAGTTCAAGGATGTGTAGAACTTATCGGTTACATCGACGAATTGAAACCAGAATATGTTCCGAATATTTAGGCGACATTTTAGCGCATAGCTGGTAATATTTTGTTGCATTTATTCTGTCCTTGACGTCATCTTTTCCGTCATTGTTATTAGGTTCGATTTTTCGGAACGGAAAATCTAGTACTGAGTAAAGATGAGTAAGGTTTTGAAAAAAAAACACTTTTTAATCGAAACATTCCCCGTTATGGCCTCGGTCAATACTGTTTTTTGAAGTCAGGATAATGGCATTTTTGCCGACCATAATTATAAATTTTCTCCTCAGTATTAGGTTTAAACCCTTGTCATATTGAGATATTCTGTACATATTGTACTGTTGTTCTGGTCGGGTGGTGCAGTGGATAGCACAATTGCCTTTCACCAAGGCGGCCGGGGTTCGATTTCGCGATCGGACGTGAAAAGGTTGGGGGTCACCTGCCTGATCACGTGGGTTTTCTCCGGGTACTCCGGTTTCCTCCCACGCGCTAACATCCGGGCCAATAAGAATGATTAATATAAGTTGAAATAACTTGTTTCATAATTGTTGTAAAATAAATAAAGTTTATATTTTATACTATTGTTCTTTAAGTATCATTGCTATTTTTGGTTTATAATATCTTTACATTGCATCACTTAAAACGATAAATAGACACATTTTTAGCGCATTCTTATATTCCGCGTTCCATTTAATATAGTGTTTTATCAGTAGTACCTACATATTGTGTGTACTGCTGTACTCTTGTTATACCACAATGACCTGTCGTGTTAATCTCCGTTTACCATGTTACTTAGAGGAGAGTCAATATTCATACAAATAACATAGGTCGTTCTTTTCGTTGGAAGAAAGTGATCACACATTTACTTGTGCAACAGTCCCGACCACAGGGACCTGAGAAGTTGTTTCAGCTATATTTGGACCAAAACTAAGGTGTTCAGAGTAATTTTACATGTTTTAGGCAAGGAGTTTTGATCAACTTTTGATCAAAATGATCATTGTGGGTGTCATTTTTACCGAAAGTCGATCTTAACCCCTAAAACATATAAAATTTCTCTGAACACCTCAGTTTAGCTCCAAATATAGCTGTAACAAATTCGCAGGTCCCTGTGGTCCCGCTGTCCTTATAAATGTGTATATTGTAATAGATACACTGGAACAACTCGCTCTAAAGGGAAGGTATCAGCCTAGCGATTGGTCAGATTTTAAATACCTGAAACCAATCAAATAGCTAATTATAAAATATAATCATGTGTCTTTATTTGTACAAAGAGCTGAACCAACGGATTTTGAAGGTGATCTACAAAACGCCAAGCTGTTGAGCCTTCAGAAACACTTTCTGGTAGGTTATTGATGGAGACCAGCAAGAGATCCCAGAGGGATGATGTTGTCCACCTTCCTAAGATCTTCATTAGTTCTATGTAAGTTTGATATGTCCCCTTCATTTGATTTCTTTTCCCTGATCTGTTAGATCTATCGTCTTGTCAACGGTAAATACATATTGTGGTAACGTTATCATTAAAGTTTTATACAGTTGGTTTGAGAGTTTTCTTTCAATGTGAGGTCATTATTTATTTCTTAAGAAATAGGGATAACAAAATTGAACTCTCAAAATCCAAGATGACTACCTGGTGGCCATATTGGTGTTTTTTTATCATTCCTAAAATCAAACATGCACAACTATGGACAATGGGGAACTAGATATGAAATTTGAGAAAAAGTTAACTTATGGGTAAAATTTCATTAATCTTGATCTGTTTATGGGAACAAGTAAAAATAATTACCTGGTTTTAGTAATGTAGGCAAGAAACTGTGATAAAATAAATCTCTCAATATCCATAGAAGGTTGCCTGGTGCCCATCTTATATTTCCGATCAGTGTCAAAAATGAAACATAAACAACCGTGGACAAGAATTAAGTAAGGACGGCCTACCGACAAAGGGAAATTTGATCAGCCCATCATATGATGGTAATTAAAAATATAATAGATCCTATTGGAACTCAGACTGCACAGCTTCATGTTTCACTGTTGAGCACCAACTGTTGTGTTCACTCCTGAAGGAGGAGTTGTACCAACTGTTGTGTTCACTCCTGAAGGAGGAGTTGTACCAACTGTTGTGTTCACTCCTGAAGGAGGAGTTGTACCAACTGTTGTGTTCACTCCTGAAGGAGGAGTTGTACCAACTGTTGTGTTCACTCCTGAAGGAGGAGTTGTACCAACTGTTGTGTTCACTCCTGAAGGAGGAGTTGTACCAACTGTTGTGTTCACTCCTGAAGGAGGAGTTGTACCAACTGTTGTGTTCACTCCTGAAGGAGGAGTTGTACCAACTGTTGTGTTCACTCCTGAAGGAGGAGTTGTACCAACTGTTGTGTTCACTCCTGAAGGAGGAGTTGTACCAACTGTTGTGTTCACTCCTGAAGGAGGAGTTGTACCAAATGTAAATGTCTGTTCCATATACCAAAGGTCGCAGCCTAGGCATCAGCTACTCGTAGTACCTTTCAAAAGCCAAACATGTATGTTTGGAGGACGCAATTACAAACAAGAGATTATAAAATGTGAAATGAAAGTCAAACATTTAATATTTATATAAGTAAAAGATACAAAGCGTGGATCAGTGGTAAGATTGATTTCCCACCTCACAAGCAATCCTAACTGCCAAAGAAGCATGACACAATACAGCATGGATATCAAGAAGAAACATTTAAATATTTGGTGTGTTTTTTTTACCTCTGCGACCTTGAACTACATGTCAGAAACCTCCTCGGTTCTGTACAGGTCATTTGAAGTTTTCATTAGTCAACATGTTCAAACATCTGTGACCTTGACAGTGAATCACATATGCAATGTGATTATGTAGAAGAAAATTTGAACATTTAAACATTTTAATTTTCAGCGATGTTGAATGTGAGTCAATGTCATTCATTTGAGCAAACATAACATTCCTCAATCCCTTTAAACTACATGCCAGAAACTATGGTGCCTTAAATTCCTCATGGTCCTGTGCATGTCATTCAAACTTTTCAACATATGGAACATTGGGGACCAGTCAAGGTCATTCAATTGAACAAACATCATACTCTTCCAGCAATTTATAAGCTAAATTGCATGAAACTATGCTTTATGGTTCTGTAGAAGAAATGATTAAATTATATGACTTTTTGAACACATCTGGTGGGTGACCTTTACAGTGGATCAACAAAATTCATTTAAATGAACTGGATAGCCCTTTATCCCAGCTAGCTTTATGCCAAATATAGGAAGGCATGTGGAATTTTTAAATCGTTCACTTGAAACAAATTTGTTAACCTTTCACTCCTGTAAGTTGCTTTCTAGGTACCATGAATGTACAACATTCTCCTGATGAAATCATTTATAAACACAAAACGTTGGTGCTACTAGCTACATGGCCAATGCTACACCATTTCAAAGCTCATATAAAGTCCTCTCTAGGCCAGCTTCAACGTCCAATGGGTGGTCTCTCAACACAGGTTCAGTTTAAAATAAAATCTGTAACATGGAGAATGTTAAAAGTGTTCTCTTACAATTGGAGGTACATGTAGTTGCATGAGGAATTTTGAACGCAGAACAAAATTTCATGTCTTACCTTTTGCATATGATGTCTCCTCAGTTTCTGTTTTTGTCCTAATAATAATAATAATAATTTGAGGTCCTTATATATCACTTAATCGCAATCCAGTTTGTAGGTCGTCTCAAAGCTGTTCACAAATTATTATCGGTGGACCTTTGCAACCAGCCAATAGATTTCTCAACTTCCTGAGGAGCATAGTCAGTGCTGACGTTTCTGCGCTCACAGCTAGCATTCAACGATTCTTGCACTGCCCAACCACGTACTCATTTACTGCTGAGTAGACTGGAACAAGCGGAGTAAAGTATCTTGCTCAAAGATACAACACAGTGCCGTGACGTGACGTGACGTGACGTGACTCGAACCCGCAACCCTTCTGTCAGGAGCCCGGCGTCCGACCACTAGACTACCATGCTGCTATGAATTAATGCATTTACTTAAAATAATTTAGATATGTCTATGTGTCAGCCATGTGCCATATTTTTTTTCCTTGAGAGTTTGAATGATCTCATATCATGCTTGTAATAAACCATTGCACAGCTAGTGGTATAAGTAAATAAAGGGCCGACAAGGAAATAAAAACATGTGTTCATTTACAAAATTGTGGCATTGTATCTTGCAGTCAAAGAAAGCAAATTATTCTTGAAGTTCACAATGTTACATACAGTATGTTCAAAGTATGAAGAAAAGTCACATAATAAGGGAATAAAAAGTTACCAAATATAGGATGATCTAGGAAGAGTGACCTTGGCCAAGTTGATTAATTAAAAGACAACTACACAAAAACATTTCTTCAAGAATATTTTCTAAAACATTAAAATTTAAAATTAAATCTACATTTATAGGGATTCACCGTCCTTAAAAGACCATAACTGTTGAGAGGACATTAAACAATACTAAACCAAACCTATAAAGATTCAATACAATCTTCCACAGACAAGAAAAATACAAAAATATTTGTAACTTTAAAGATATCTCACAAAAATAACATTTTTAAGATTTACATTATTAATAAGTTAAGATAATCAGGCTAGATCAACAAGGTTTGGATATACTGCCCAGTCTGACTTTTGAATCATATTTCCATCACTGGATAAACATGCAAGGAATTGATAAATATATAATATTGCCCTTTGTGTGGATAAACACCAGAGAACCATTTCAAGACATGTCCCTAACTTTATGTATGTGTTGTGAAACAGTACCTTAACTCTTTCACCCCTATGTAACTTTAGTAGACTCTACCATGCATTGATATGGAGGGGTCCATTATGGTCTACAGTGGTGAAAGGGTTAAGCATGATTCCATTGGTTAAGGTACTGATTATGACATACTTAACACATTTTCCATAGTGACGACATTATTCATGGTGATTGTTCCCTGATCAGATACAGAATTCATGAGAAACGTATGGTATTCGGATACAGTACAAAATATTATTGGAGAAAATAGCTTCAGAACTTGTGATGGTTGGTTTTCATGTTTCTTACTTTCATTGGAAGTTGTGTTCCAAATTGTAAAAAAACAAGTGGTAGGGGGGGGAGGGTGTATTTAGATATTTGGAAAAGCATGACCATAGTGCTTCAATATACAGAAAATCAGCAGTTTTTCAAGATTTATTTTTAAATCTTAATACATTTCAATTACATAGCAAAGTGAGTACAGATTGTTTATACAACATGTAAATATATAATACTACAGAATAATAGCACTGCATTTATCTTATGTCACTTAAAACCTTAATTGTTTTCTCTAGAAAACGACTAATTTTAGGTAAAACAGTTAAATTACAAATAGAAATCATTCCTTTAAGCTTAAAATTGCTGTGGTTTGTAGTGTAATAATTATGGATTTTTTTCTTTCTTATTGATGATATACACTTGGATAATGCAATTTTGGATGTAATGCATAGCTAGGAAACATTGCAGGTGTACCTCAAGTAGTTTAATGATGGCATCTATAGCCTTATGTTAATAGTGTAGCACAAAAACCTTGTAAAGAATTATTTACTCTGCATTATATTAATTAGTTGTATTTCAGTTGACTCTGTGTCACTCATTTACTCAGTAATACTCATTGCTTATATCTGAGTTGACTCATTGTTACATCTGTTCGCTCACTGTAACCAGAGACGTATAATACATTGTATTATACATCTCTGCTGTAACTAACTTGTTGCTAAAACTCTGAGTTGACTAAATTTTACTTTATAGCTCCGAGTTGACTAATTTTTACCAATTGATTACATCTATGTTGTTTCACTGTAATAACTAACTTGTTGCTCAAATTCTGAAATAACTAAATGTAACTTTACATCTCTGAGTGGACTCATTGTTACCAATTGATTACATCAATGATAGCTCACTGTTACTAACTTGTTGCTTAAAATCTTAACTGACTTGGTGTTATTCATTGTAAATACATATTAATTATCTTAAATGTTGAGTATATGGACATATGGAGTATTGAAGTCTCCTAAGAATTTAATGAGTTTAATTCAATATCATCTTCTGTTTAGACTGGATATTTTTCGGTGATCTCTTTTTAACTCATGTTCCTATCAGTTAACTCAATGCTATTCACAGCTTGAAGTTCTCTGATCTTAAATAATTGATTTTCTAAGTTGTCTCAGTATTCAATGTTTCTCAAAGAGACCTTTTTTTTTTTTTAAATTTCTCAGTCAACTCAATGTCATTTAATGTTCATCAGTCATATCAAAGGTGACTCGGTATAGTGAAACATTCCTTCGAGTTGACTCAGTATTCAATGTTTCTCAAAGAGGACTCAACTCTTTTTCTTCAAATTCTCTCAGATTCGACTAAATTTGATTTAATGTTCATCAGTCATATCAAGGTCTCCTCTGAGGTGACTCAGTGTAGTAAAACATTTCTCTGAGTTCACTCAGTATTCAATGTTTCTCAAAGAGGACTCAATTTTTCTCTCTTGAGTCGACACAATGTCATTTAATCAGTCTTATCAAGGTCTCCTCTGAGGTGACTCAGTGTAGTAAAACATTTCCCTGAGTTGACTCAGTATTCAAAGAGGACTCAATTTCTTTTAATATTTCTTTCAGAGTCGACTCAATGTCATTAAATGTTCATCAGTCGTATCAAAGTCTCCTCTGGGTGACTCAATGTAGTAAACCATTCCTCCGAGTTGACTCAGTATAATTCAGTGCTCCTCATCTGAGTCGGCTACGGCAGCTGCACTACTTTTCTTCTTGGTTGCAGTCTTTTTCTTCTGTTTGACCTTGCTTTCAGTATGTGTCTGGTGGATGCCCGAGATATGCTCCAACTAAAAGGAAACAGGAAAATATTTCTACAATGTATTCACTTTGTCTTTCCAATTCAAAAACTCATATCCAGCAAACTTTTGATATGTTCTGTAAATATATAATAATTATAAGATTGAATAAATAACTACATGACTTACTATGAAATCACTAATTTTTGTGGGTAATCTTCAACCAAGAATTCACAGGTCCACGAAGTTATCACAAGTTTGATATAAAGCAATTCTCCATTTGAGTAGGTACGGTTCTCATAATCCACAAATTCATGTACCCAAGAAATGGTGATTTATCAGGAAACCATGAAATTTGGATCCTTCAAAAATATCTGAATACACAGTAAGTTATTAAATATACATGACATAATAATGACAATATATCAGCAGCATTTCCCCTTTCAGACAGCTTCTTGCAGATTTAATTTTCATAGTATAGGTGTGAAAATTGAGAGATCTCAACCCCTCAGGTTAAGATTTTTTCTTTGCAGGACTCGGCTTTTTGTAACTGCAGTGTATATGCAGTAACATATTCTCTTACTGGAAAATGTGAGATTGTCTGTACAACCTATAAACTGTATGATATTATATAAATATCACATTCATGAGAGGGCGATATTGCATATTTTCACCCCAAGGAAGCATTGTTAACCGAGGCGAAGCCGAGGTCAACAATGCTTTCCGAGGGGTGAAAGTATGCAATATCGCCCTCTCATGAATGTGATTTTTATTTTATTATACCGAGTGTCATGTTTAGGTGTTTCACCACTTCACCATTTTTAAAGGTCCTTGTGTTGATTTGACATAAACCAAGACTTCATCTCAACAGTTGTCGAATGAACCAACCATGAATGTGATTTGATAACACCCTGGCACTGGAACGAACCGTGCACACATATGTTTGGCGCATGTAACAATTTTTGGAATAACACCCTCGCACTGGGACGAACCGTGCACGCATACGTTTGGCGCATGTGATATTTTTTGGAATGTCACCCTGTCTTCTTTATCTTTGTAAAACGAGCAAGTAACATTGAAAATGTTCACATCTTTCTCAACCAATCAGATTACGAGATTTTAACAGAAGGTATAATAATAATGAAATGTTTACGAGTTTTGGACATTTCCTCAGAAGAAGCTTGACATCATCTGCATTAACAGTGGTTCTTTTGGCATGCCTGAAATTATAGGAACACACGGAATCAGCCTAAATGCTTAAATCATGGATAAGATCTTGATCATCTATCAACAAAAAATGTCACACATTTCATACATAAACAGCCCATAATATACCTCCTTTAGACGAAGTCCATGGAGGAAAAAAGGAAAAGGAAAGATTCCTAAACTAAGAAAATTGCACTTGTCTGCGAAATAAGTTATTAATAATTCAACATTAAAATTGTTATACTTTGATTATTCTGCACAATCGAAAAAATTCTGAATTTGTAATATTAAGGAAGTTAACTAAACTTTCAAATTCAGAAATAATACAGAACAGATACTCTAGCAATCAATGATACATATAGGACTACATGTATATCTTTCAGACAGCTTCTTGCAGATTTTATTTTCATAGTATAGGTGTGAAAATTGAGAGATCTCAACCCCTCAGGTTAAGATTTTTTCTTTGCAGGACTCGGCTTTTTGTAACTGCAGTGTATATGCAGTAACATATTCTCTTACTGGAAAATGTGAGATTGTCTGTACAACCTATACATTTCTAACTGCATGAAATTAAGTTAAAATTTGGACATAGATTTCATTCATATGTTTAAAACCTACTTAGCAAACATTTCTAAATCTTGTGTAACATCTTGGACGTATCGCCATGTTGTTTCAGCGATGGCTGCCATAACGGAGTTGTTTATAGGGACCTTGGAGTCGTCGTCTTGTAGTTCTGAACAGATTCTCACCACAGTATGATGGACCGATGCCTTCAGTCTCTGAAAAAAAATTGAAGTTTTGTTAGGAAGTTTATTTATCAAGATTTAACATCCCATCAAAACCATCAGGTCACAGAGGGCCACACAGGATAAAATGTAAACAGCAAGTGTGCCAAAAGAGGAACGGATAGAATTATTTAAATTACATAAATGTGTATATAGAAGAAAAATATAATGGTCCAAATTACTGAAATGAACAAAGGGCAATAACTTTTGCTAAAAATGTCAAATCAAAATTCTTTTAAGGGATCGAGACAAAACTTCATTTCATGATTATCATGCATGTATACCAAGTTTCAAAGAGATCGGTCGAAAAATGTAGGAGGAGATCTCCGGACAAAATTCAAATACTGAAATGAACAATGGGCAATAACTTTTGAAAAAATTGTCGAATCAAAATTCAGGGAGACACAACTTCATATCAGACTATAATGTATACCAAGTTTCAAATAGATCAGTCGAAAAATGTAGCAGGAGATTGCCGGACAAACAAAGTTTACGCCGGACGGACAACGCCACACCATAATACTACCGTCAATTTGACGGTCGTATAAAAAAGAATGCTGACAAAGTTCTTATTCCATGGATGCACATGCTACCTTAGTAACCATCATGGCAACCCGCTTCAACTTTTTTTTCTGCGTAAGGTAGCATTAAAAAAAAAAGAATGTAAATATAAGGATTGACCTTCATTTTGACGGCATATACGGTAGTATGAACGCAGTTGGCAATGAACTTATTCTGTCTGGAGCGCTAATGTGCACCATAGAAAATGTCTGTTGCCAACTTTGTTCATACTACCGTATACGCTGTCAAAATGAAGGTCAATCCTTAAATAACATATAGATTGGACCTGTATGAAAATGAACATAAGGACTGTCCTGAAGAAGCTAGTGTCCATATTCAAAATCATGAAAGACCTACTGGTCAAATTTTGCACTACCACAAAATACGCAATAGAAAATAGTATAAAAAAATTCAACTGGTGCAGAAATATTTTAGCACTATAAATAAAGCAAGTAAAGCACTAAAATCAATCTGAATCTGATTAAAATACATGCCTGCCTTCCAAGACGCAAGAGTACTTAGGGATTATTGAAGATATTTACTTTAATCAGATTGTGCTAAAACAATCACTAAAATATGTACGTTTACATAACTTCACATGGATTATCCCATTTTTTTATGTTGATTCCCACGGGTCTGATACAGCTGTGAAAGACAAATGTTTCAAGCCGACGTTTTACTTTCAATGAATCGAACTGTATCAGTTTCGGTAAATTTTAGCCATGAAGTAATTATATCTATTTATACAAAATTCAGTCCCCTTTGCCACTTGCAAGAGCTCCTTTATACCAAATACAGTTAGAACCCCTTTCTGGGAGTAACTTAGAGATTTATCCCTTACCTATGTTGACCCCTTCCCCTCTGCCCCAAAAGGTACAAAAAATATATTGTTTATTCAAGATTAAGTCCCCTTGGCATATTTTTATACCAGAGTGGGATCAAATCCCTTCACCTGTCCTGGATGAGTGTAGTAGGCTCTGTTGGGCCCTGCCCCTCTGCCCCACCTTTTATTCATAAAAAATGAAGTCTCCTTGGTCAATTAAAGGGACCCTGTGTAGCGGAACTGGACTGGGTCATCTCGCTAATGACCAGGTACATAGTTCAATATGTACATTGTCCATCTAGAGTATGTAGGGAACCTGTTGGAATCCTGATCTGGCCTGGGTTGTAAACAGTGTTGTCTTTGGGGGGGCGAAGACTTAGATAAGGGAGGGAGGAATGCAGCGGAAGCAAGAACTGGGCTGGGTCGTCGGTTGATCGGCGTGACCAGGTACTTCAGTAGGTACAGCGTCTACAGGTCTAAATTTCGGAAGTTCCCAGGTTCGAATCCTGGTCTGGCCATGAGTATTTCCTATTCCTTTTATACCTGTAGCAGTTTTGGGTTTTAAGTATATATTTATAGTCGGGGAAATAATTTCCGAGTATTTTTTTTTTATATGTTTAAGGCCATCTGATGGGATTTCCCTGTTGATGTACTTTTAGCAACAGGTATATTTGTGTAACTGGTTTGACTGCTGGGATTGACCCTTGGCATACGGGTCTGTTGGGTCAGTAGGAGGCATTCAAGAGTATTCATAATTAGATAGTTAGCTGGCTGTCAAGTTTTGTCCTGGGAACTGTACATGTAAGCCAGAAAAGACACTGGACACTTTTTGGGGGTTAGTCGGTGGGCCCAGGGAAGTAGGGCTAGGAGCAAGATATCTAGGCTAGTAATCCTACATTGGTTAGTCAGTGAGTATCGTTTTGTTTTAGTGTATATATACTGTTCTAGTCTTGTGTCGTATTTACCTGGGTAGTTGTACGTGTATGGGTATACGTAGCGTGACGAGAGGTAGTGTTATAAGGGAACGGTCTTGGGATGAATTTTGTCATATATGTTAATCTGTATGGTATAGTATCGCTAGTGTTGTGTGTATACGTAATAAATCTTTCATATACTCCACTTTATTTGCTTGTTATGTTGTTCATCATGTTATATAGAAACTAGAGGTGATAAAAAGTCGGAACCTGGAGAGTGGATCTGAGAAAACAAATAGCCACTGTACGATAAATTTTACACACCTGTGTATACATTACTAACTTAAAACGTCCAATAATAGTCAATACACACCAGGATAGGTTCAGACATCCATGCATTTACATGTTGCTAAAGTGTGATTAATTCTCATGCCACCTCCATCATAAACTTATTTACTTATTATTATCTATTGATCGAAACGAGCTCCTGTGCAGGCTGTCACAGAGGTTCGTTACAAATGTCTGAAATACACATACATGTATATATATATATGCTATACTGATATGGCTCACAGCATAGTGTGACACTGTCCTGTGATCAAATCAGTATGGCATATATAGGTGTATTTCAGACATTTTTTAAATGTAACCACAGGAGCCTAACATTCTGTCAAAAATGAATAAAAGTTATGCATACAAAAAAAGTATATAATTTTTTTCGAAAACCACAAATTGTGTCACCTCCATTATATTGCTTATAGTGACTAGTGTGTTGTAGGCCTACTGTCAGTAGAGTAATGGAGAATAAGGTCAGTGATACAATTTGTCATTAGGCAAGAGACGTATAATACATTATTATACGTCTCTGATTAGGCGTAGCTGGATTATACTATAAACTTCGACAGTTAATCACTCATCTATAAATCACTGCTAAAGTTACCTGTCTGTGTTGTAGATTATCCATGTCATCATCTTCAGTCGCCATTACGTAAGAGACAATTGCGTGTTTTAGATTTTAACAACTAGGTAAACAAGCCAGCGTTGATCCACATTTGGATTTCGCGGTTATTTTAGAACTCTTCAAATGGGAAGATAAAAAGGGTGTAATAATCCTGTTTTAAGGATACTTGACCATAATATTTTTTCTTTTCTTTTCCACGGACATTAGATAACATTGCCTTATTCCTTGTTGCTACGTACTAACACGAAATTAATTGAAGATAGCAGATAAGATAGTTACAATTAATTTTAAGATCGCTTCATGTGTTGTATCACGGAATTAGAATTATCTAAGACCAAAACGGACCAATCGGAACCGAATCGGACCGAAACGAAATCGAAGCTATTTGTGCGTGACCAAAACGGACCCCGATCGGAACCGAAACGAAAGTGTTTTTTTTTTTGTTTTTTGTTTTTGTAAATTTGAGCTGTGTTTCTATTTCTCGTGTATAACACCTCAAAATTATTATTAATGCTATCAATACATATACTAATTAAATTCTGACACAATTTCTGACAGGATATAATTCATTTCAGGAGTCTTGTGTTATATACATACAATAATGGCATGTAGCTATGTTATATAAATACAAGAACATGCCTAGATGTTCATACATTAGAAAGGCAATTACGTCAAAAATTATAAATGGATAATTTATTGTGTTCTATTTGTGTACCGAATTTTTGGAAATGGGCGAGTCTTCTTTTCCCCTCTTATTTTTTTTCAATTTTGTGTAGAGAATGTGAAATTATGGCACATATGAAACTGTAGAACAAATCATTATAGCATAGGCTGTAAAAGGAACCGAATTGAAAAGGCTCATTCCCCGAACACCAACTCTGGAGAATTGAAAGGAAGGTGAAATTCTCTGAAGTTTAGTTATAGCCCGTTTCAACTAAGAATGTCAACTCATTTTGTAGATATGATACTAAAGTCAAATATAAAATGGATAACAAGTTTTTATTCATACATTTAACTGTAATACACATTTAATACAGCACTAAGTAATAGAAAATAATCATTAAATATTAATATTTACATCATATGAAAAATAAAATTCCTTAATTTAAGCCTCATTGATACTAATGTCAGCAATAAAATAAAGTTTCTATTCATACATATAACAGTAATACACATTTAAAACAGCACTAAAAGTTAATTATTAAATACAAATATAAACGAAACGACTAAATGAAGCTGAAGTTTCTAGCACAAATCACATTCTCTATATATATCACTTAAGTCTCTAGCACAAAACATTCTATCCAAGATGCAGAAGCTGTGATGCTGAATCGGCGTAGGTCATCAGGGCGATAGTTCCAGTCTGATAACGGTCTTTCATGTTGGCCAGCTGGCGTCTGTCGATGTTGGTGTATCTCTTCTTTCGGGGTTAATATAGACTTTATTTCATTTCAAATTAAGTTGCATTACATCACATAACATACAAAGTACAGAGGAATGGGATCCGGAAACAAGTTGAAATAACTTATATAAATCCGTTTCCGAGAATGTATCTCATTAATTTAAGACATGATGGTATAGTTACTGAATTCTATGGAAAGAAATATAAACACTTAAAACAGAAGCTTACTTTTAAACGTAGTTCAAGGGATATTTGAAATGAGAGTAAAAGAAAAGGGGTACGGGGGGATGGGGGTATAGATGCCCGTGCCAATAAGAATAGAAGGAGAAGAAATATGTGATGTGAAACAAAGGATCGTTGTATAATGAATAGAACTTAGTCAAATCTTTTAGAATGGATGATGAAGTTTTGTACAGATGAAAAAATTAAGGCATTTTCGTCTTCTGTAAGCTCATTATTCCCGAACAAAAGTAAATCAGTTGAGAGTGGATGATTGATTTCGTTAAATGTATGTAACCGAAGTTGAGAAAAAAGACAACAATGTAATAGATAATGTTCATTGGTTTCATTTGCTTGCATGCAAGAACACAGAGGACTATCAATTAGATTTCTCTGGTATAGATAAAACTTAAGGGAACTACACTCCATTCTGCCCCAGTCTGGTACCGTTAAAGTAGAAAATTTGAATTTTGTGAGAGGGCTTGCGTAGATAGGTTTTAAGTTTATAGATTGAAGGGTCGTTCTTGACATAGTCAGGCAAGGAGTTCCAGATACTGATGACAGATGGGAAAAAAGATTTATTATAGAGACTCGTATGACTAACTAGTGGACGAAAATTATTTCCCGTGCGAGTATCATGGTTGTGGTAATTACGGTTACGCTGAGGTAGAATATCTAGAAGATATTGAGGAGCCGGACCATGAACCATTTTGTGGAAAAGAATAAGCTTGTGCTGTTTACGTCTTTCCTCGAGGGGAAGCCAACCTGTTTCAGTATACAGTTTAATTCTACTTGTGAGTCTAGTGCCGCCAGTGACTATGCGTGCTGCTTCTAATTGAAGATTTTCTAATAATTCAGATTAAGCTTTAGTAAGGGNTATATATATCAAAAATAAAAGAGGTCCAAGAATTGAGCCCTGTGGAACACCAGCCTTAACATTTAACCAATTTGAATTTTTACCATTGATGACAACTCTCTGCTTTCGATCGGAAAGATAATTTTCAAACCAAACTAATAGCGAATTTCGAATCCCATAGCTGGATAATTTACAAAGAAGGCTTCTATGCCGAACTCGATCGAAAGCTTTGCTAATATCACAGAAGACCATACGTATTTCCTTACCATTGTCTAAGGCTAAATATATATCATGAATGATCGCAAGAAGTTGATTTGATGATGATGGGGGGATAGGAGGGAGTGAGCGTGCAAAAAAATGTAGACATATTTGAAGACACATTTTTTCCATTAATTTACCAACGATCGATAGCAGTGATATAGGTCTGTAATTAGTTAATATAGACTTGCTTTCTTTTTTATGCACAGGATTGACGTTAGCAAGCTTCCATTCAGATGGGAATAAACCAGATCTAATTGACCTGTTAAAGAGATTTCTTAAGGGGACACATATGGTATTTACTGATTCTTTAAGAAGACGAGGATTTACCAGGGGAAAGGGGAAAGACCAGACCAATTGTAGCAAGATTCCTTTTCAACAANTAGAACATCTGCGCTGACTCTAGGAATATCAACGGTTACGTAAAGAGAGATGTCATCAGCGAATAACTCTATTTTAGCTTGTATATCTTTAACAATGTCATTTATATATATCAA